TGGCCCTACCTGCGTCCCCTGTGTCGAGGGGCGCCAGCGGGCTGCCCCTCACTCCTCCCAGTTTCCTCCGATAGAGGCCCCGCTACAGACGCTTCACATGGACGTGTGGGGCCCGGCCCACGTCCGTGGACAGGGTCACGAGCGCTACTTCCTGCTGGTGGTTGACCACTACTCGCGTTACACCACAGTCTTCCCCTTGCGCAGCAAGGGTGATGTCACTGAGGTGTTGATCGACTGGATCCGCGCAGCTCGTCTCCAGCTCAGGCAGAGCTTCGGCTCGTACTTTCCTGTTCTGCGTTTGCACTCTGACAGAGGCGGAGAGTTCTCCTCTGGCCTTCTGCGAGCCTACTATTGTGCACGAGGCATCCGCCAGACCTTCACGCTTGCGGACTCTCCACAGCAAAATGGGATTGCTGAGCGCCGCATTGGCATGGTCATGGACGTCGCCCGTACGTCCATGATGCATGCGGCTGCCCCCCATTTTCTGTGGCCGTTTGCAGTTCGCTACGCGGCGCATCATATCAACCTTCACCCCAGGTTCTCCATGCCGGAGACCTCCCCAGCTTTGCTGTGGACGGGGAGGGTTGGGGATGCGTCTGTGTTCCGTGTCTGGGGATCTCGTGCGTTTGTCCGCAACTTGTCTGCGGACAAGCTATCCCCTCGTGCTGCTCCTTGCGTCTTCCTTGGCTGCCCCCCTGACGCGCCAGGGTGGCAGTTCTACCACCCCACCTCTCGCCGTGTTCTGTCCTCCCAGGACGTCACGTTTGACGAGTCGGTCCCCTACTACCGCCTCTTCCCCTACCGCACTCCGTCCCTCCCCCCGCCACCGCTCTTCCTTGTGCCAGGTCCCCCCCCGGTAGACCCCCTCCCCCCTCAGGGTCCTGCCCCTTCTGGTGTGTCCCAGGTAGACGCAATCGAGCCTGTCGAGGTTACTGGTGACTCTGGTGCTGGTGAGGGTGCTGAGCCTGGGGGTGCTGACTCTGGGGGTGCTGAGCGTGTGGGTGCTACGCCTGGGGGTGATGAGCCTGAGGGTGCTACTACTGGGGGTGCTGAGCCTGGGGGTGCTGAGCCTGGGGGTGCTACCACTGGGGGTGCTGAGCCTGGGGGTGCTGAGCCTGGGGGTGCTACGCCAGGGGGTGCTAAGCCTGGGGGTGCTACGCCTGGAGGTGCTGAGCCTGGGGGTGCGGAGCCTGAGGGAGATGGGCGTGCTCGTGTGGCGTCTGGCGGTGCTGGGCCTGGAGGTTCTCCGGGTGCTTCATCTCGGCGGGAGCCACTCTCTCCACAGGAGCTGCGCGAGTGGTTTGCCCGGCGCTGGAGGCGTGCTGCTGGAGCTGGAGGTTCTTCGGCTGCTGAGGGTGCTGGTGCCGCGGGTCCCGGAGGTGCTCGTACTGGGAGTACTGGAGCTGCTGGGCGTGCGGGTACGACTGGAGCTGGAGCTGCTGAGGGTGTTGGCGTTGAGGCTACTACTGTCGGTCCTGGAGGCGGTCTTGCTGGGGGTGCTACTGGTGCTCCTGGAGGTCCTTGAGCTGGAGGTGCTGCTGGCGCTGGTGCTGCCCCTGGGGGTACTGGTGCTGTCCCTGCTGTGTCTGGAGTCGCCGCGCGGCCTCGGCCGTACTTCGTTCCGCTTCTTCAAAAGGTTCTTGGTCTCCCGCCTTCTACTGGTCCTCCTCCTCCCTTAGAGTGTCTACAGCCTGTCCCGTCACAGTTACAGTTACAGCCGGCCTCCCCACTGCCTGCTCCTTCTCCCTACACTGGTCCTACTGGAGGTCTTGCTAAGCGTCGTGAGCTTGCGTCTCGACCTGCGTCTCCTGTCCGTCCTGCTCGCACTAGTGGTCGTGGTTCGCGTCAGCGTCATCCTCCTGTCCCTAGCACGCATCGGATGTCTCTGCGTCCGCCCACTGCTCCTCTGCGTGCCCCTTTGCCTTCTCCTCCTGAGTCCTCTCTTCCTGCTCTTGCCGACCCGGAGTCGGACTCTCTTCGTGCTGCCAGTCCTACTGTCACGCGTCTCTTTGCTACTGTCGTCACTGACCCTTCCTTTGAGTCCACTGCTGCGTCTGCCCTAGTTGCTGAGCTCGTCGACTTTGCTGCTCGCTGTCGTCTAGACTACGCTGCTAGTCATGTCGCTGAGTCTGAGTCTATCTGTCCTCCGTCCGTCGGGGGTGAGTGTGCCCTTGGCACGGACGTCCTAGAGGACAAGCAGGAGGAGTTCCAGTGTTTTGCTGCTGCTTTACCTCATCTCATGTCCGTACTGCTTACCCCTGAGGGAGACCCGGATGCACTTGACATCCCGACTCCGCGCTCACACGCGGAGGCGATAGAGGGTCCCTACTCCTCTCAGTGGCAGGCAGCTATGGACACAGAGATGGCTTCCTTGAAGTCCACAGGCACCTACGTTGACGAGGTTCCCCCGCCTGGGGCGAACATCGTCAGTGGCATGTGGATTTTCAGGGTGAAGCGGCCGCCGGGTTCTCCGCCTGTCTTCAAGGCGCGTTACATGGCTCGTGGCTTCAGTCAGCGGCAGGGAGTTGACTACTTTCAGACCTTCTCTCCCACCCCGAAGATGACCACTCTTCGGGTACTGCTGCACATAGCTGCTCACCGCGACTACGAGCTGCACTCTCTTGACTTCAGCACTGCTTTCTTGCAGGGCAGCCTGCACGAGGAGATCTGCTGCGTCGCCCACCTGGCTTCACTCGGTCTTTTCCTCCTGGCACCCAGTGGAGCCTCCGGCGGCCAGTCTACGGTCTCCGCCAGGCACCGCGTGAGTGGCACGACACACTGAGGACTACACTTGCGGCCCTTGGGTTTGCTCCCTCTACTGCCGACCCGTCGCTGTTTCTGCGCACCGACACTTCTTTGCCACCGTTCTACATCCTCGTGTACGTCGACGACTTGGTCTTTGCCACAGCTGACACTGCTGGACTCGCCCACATGAAGTCCGAGCTGCAGAAGAGACACACGTGCACAGACCTGGGTGAGCTGTGCAGCTACCTTGGCTTGCAGATCATCCGGGACAGAGCACGCCGCACCATTACCCTGACTCAGTCACACATGGTGCAGTAGGTCCTTCAGCGCTTCGGCTTCACGTACTCCTCGCCTTAGGCCACTCCTCTGCCTACTCGCCACTCGCTCTCAGCTCTGCCTTCGGATGAGTCCGTAGAGTCGAGTGGCCCATACCCAGAGCTTGTTGGCTGCCTCATGTACCTGATGACCTGCACACGACCTGACCTTGCATACCCTCTTAGCATTCTCGCACGCTATGTTGCTCCTGGGAGACACAGACCGGAGCACATGGGTGCAGCGAAGAGGGTGTTGCGCTACTTGTGCAGTACGTCGGGCATGGGGCTTGTGCTTGGAGGGCAGAGTCCAGTGGTCCTCACTGGGCACGCAGACGCTTCTTGGGCTGACGACCAGGCTACGCAGCGGTCGTCACAGGGTTACACCTTCAGCCTTGGTTCCGGCTCTGTTTCGTGGCGGTCTACCCGCTCGTCTTCTGTTCTCGGCTCCAGTTGTACGTAGATCTACGCTGGGGCCATGGCTGCACAGGAGCTTCGCTGCCTCACCTACCTGCTGACTGACCTCGGAGAGCCGCCTCGTTCTCCTCCAGTGCTGTACGTAGACAACAAGGCCATGCTGGCCTTGTGTCGAGAGCAGAGACTGGAGCACAGAACGAAACACATTGCTCTGCGCTACTTCCTTGCTCGTGAGCTACAGCAGCGTGGTCAGTTGCGACTTGCGTACGTGGCCTCTTAGGCCAACACTGCTGATATCTTCACCAAGGCACTTGCGCCTTGTGATCATCAACGCTTCTGTACTCAACTGGGTCTTGTGCCTACCTTGCCTCACTTGCTCACCCCTTGACCTTGTTTGTACTGTTGCATATATATATACACCTGCTCTTGCTTGTCTAGCCTTATATATATATGTAATCCTGCATTTGAACTAGCCTTGTGGCCTTGAACTTGTGCTGAGAATGTGTGGTGACTTTGTGATCCACCCTGAGCTTGCTTTGCTTTGCTTTGCTTGACTGGTCTTGTGACCCCTTGTTCTCTCCCACTTTGCCTATGGGGGTGTGTCAGATTTATATTTCATAGCTACTGTAGGCTATAGTGGGGTAACACATATGGGGTAGAGCTTTCTAGGGTTCGTACTTGTACCCAACTTTCTGTTTGTCAAAACATTCTCGTTCATTTTCTCAAAACGGTATTGTACAATTTCAATGATTACCGGACAGTCCCCTTTTGCAACAATAAGGGCTTATTCGCTAACATCATGCTTCCAAGAAAGCGTAACTTACTAAAGCGATGCGCACTACTAGCTAAGGGCTTTTAACAGGAATTGTCATAATACCGAACCCTAGGGCCTTTTATTAGGATTAGTAACATCCAACCCTTCATACCCGTTGATACCCCTTCCGCACCCATCAGAATATCCTGAGGACACAAATGGAACACATCTAGAACACTTGTGATCCTTCTTGATTCTTCCAGTGCTCCGCTCAACTCTTCCCCTCCACTCCTTTGATATTTCCCTACCTCACCAACTCGTACCGGCAAAGGGAAGCTATTCATCCACCCCCCTTCTACATCCCGAAAAAATGCCATTGTGCTCCGTTCCCTGACCTACATTCTAATGCACCCCACCGCCATCCCACTCGCCTTCCAATTGTTTAGAAAAATATTGCAGCAGCCACCTCTTGAATGCACTACCTTCTCGTTTTCTTTCCCCCCTCACTACCACTGCTTGCTTGCTACGCCTCTTTTCCCTCCTCCCCCACATCTATTGCCTCTTGCACCAGCTCATAACCAGCTAAACTCATCGCTCCAAGGGGAACAGCACAGAAGAACCAGCCAGCACCGGTAGAGCACTGTACTGTCATCCACCAAAGCTGGTTGCTCCTTACTGCCTCCTTGCCTCCTTACTGCCTCCTTGCCTCCCTACTGCCTCCTTGCCTCCTTATTGCCCCCTCCTTGCACCCTGCTCCTCCTGCTCCCTCTCCACTACGCCTCTTTCCCCTCCTCCCCCACATCATCTATCGCCTGCTTCGCCAGCTCATACCCAGCAAAGTTCATTGCTCCAAGCGGTGCAATCCAGAAGAACCGCGGCAGCCAGCCCTTATACAGCGCCCCCACCCCCTCCGTGGCCAATAGGTTCGCGCCAACTGTCAGCATGCCGGCCGCTGCCGCCCCGGGCGGCGACGTCATCATGCGTGTCTTGATGACGTCGAATGGCGTGATGGCGATCGCTGCCATGCCGCCCGAGAAGCCGCCCAGCAGGAGGGTTTCCCAGGGGGCGAGCTCTCGGCGCAGCACATGGCGAGTGACCTGCGATGGGTGGGTGGGAGGAGGGATAGGGAGAGGGAGAGGAAGTGACAATGATGCCCTTGAAATAAGCCGATTAACGGAGAGCATGAGAAGCCGCCCAGCAGGAGGGTTTCCCAGGGGGCGAGCTCTCGGCGCAGCACATGGCTAGTGACCTGCGATGGATGGGAGGAGAGGGAGAGGGAAGTGACAATGATGCTTCCGAAATCAGCAGACTCACAAAGGGCACAGCCGCCCAGCAGGAGCGTTTCCCAGGGGGCGAGCTCTCGGCGCAGCACATGGCGAGTGACCTGCGATGAGAAGAGTGGGGGAGGGAGAAGGGAGCGACAATGGTCCTTTCAGCTCAAACGACAAGTAGAGAGTGCAAGAAGCCGCCCAGCAGGAGGGTTTCCCAGGGGGCGAGCTCCCGGCGCAGCACATGGCAAGTGACCTGGTATGGAGAGAAAGGGATAGGGAGAAGGGAGCGAGATTGATGCCTTTAAAAAGCCAACTCGCAGAGAGCAAGAGAATCCGCCCAGCAGGAGGGTTTCCCAAGAAGTTCATCCCCTGCGGAGCACATGGCACGTGACCTGGGATGGGAGTGACGAGAGGGAGCAGGGCAAAATAGTGAATACTTTCAAAGTGAAGTCCATCAATCGGCTCTAGAAGGACCGGAGAAGCCACCCAGCAGGAGGGTTTCCCAGGAAGCAAGCTCCCTGCGGAACACATGGCGTGTGACCTGGGAGGGATGGGAGGGGATGGAGTGGAGAGCAACATTGATTGATGCCTTTGAAATCGCCGACTTACGAACAGCACGAGAATCCGCCTAGCAGGAGCGTATATGATGTGAACATCCACTGAACCACCTTTCTTCTTTCTCTATTCAACTCACCCGCTTGACTTGCAGGTATATGAGCATGCCAAACACGTAAAATGGCACTTCTCGGCACTGCGTGGCGGTGGTCCCTCGAAACAGCCCCTTCACCCTCGGGGCAGCCCTCGTCGAGGGTCGTCCTGAGCGCTGCCCCTGGGCTGCTGTACAGACACTCACTTGACCTCTAGCTTTACTCAACTCACCCGCTTGGCTTGCAGGTAGATCAGCATGCCAAACACGTAGAAGGGCACTTCTCGGCACAGCGTGGCAGTGGTCCCTCGGAACAGCCCCTTCATGCCTCCCTCCTTGGTCGTCGCCCTGAAAGCCGCCCTTGTGCTGCTGTAAAGGCAACTCCTGGACCACAAAAACTCACCCGCTTGACTTGCAGGTAAATCAGCATCCCAAAAACGTAAAACGGGACCTCCCGGCACAGCGTGGCGGTGGTCCCTCGGAACAGCCCCTTCACCCCGCCCTCCTTGAGCGTCGCCCTGAGCGCCGCTCCTGTGCTGCTGTAGAGCCCTGCCTGCAGCTGCTGCTTCAGCACCTCACAGGGAATGCGGAGAGCCGTGCCCAGCACTGTGGAGCAGAGGGAGGCCACTGGTTGGACCTGAGGGGAGGGGAGGAACGGTGGGGCGCGGAAAGGGGGAAACAAGAAATGGGGGGTGGAGGGAGGGGGGAAGGAGGGAGGAGGAAGGAGGTGGTTTGGGGCATGTGAGTGCAGTCGTGCAGCCCTGCCTGCAGCTGCTGCTTCAGCACCTCACAGGGAATGCGGAGTGCCGTGCCCAGCACTGTGGAGCAGAGGGAGGCCACTGGATGGACCTGAGGGGAGGAGGGGGGGAGGGGAGAAGGGTGGGGAGAGGGAGAAGAGATGGGTGGGGAGAGAGAGAAGAGAGGGGGCAGTCAAGCATGTGTGCGCTGCCGTACAGCCCTGCCTGCAGCTGCTGCTTGGCACGTCGCATGGCATGTCAAGGGACATGCCATGCCATGGATGGAGGTGGAGGGGCTGTCCCTTCATGCATGCCATGGATGGAGGTGGAGGGGCACAAGCAAGTGGATGTAAAAGCAGGGAGAGAATCCAAACTGGAACAAGCGGTCAAAAAGTCTCTCAGAAAAGGCCCAGTCTAGCGGATCCAGGGCAGGGTGTTTCCAAGAATTTATAAAGCAATTCAGTGAGACCATACCTGGAACGCGGCGAGGCGTGAAGGGGAGAAGGGTCTGGGGCATTTAGGCCGGAGCCAGCGGTTCTAGAATCAAACCATATATCTGTTGTAATTTGTGAGATTAACTAGAGTTCTTTATATTCTAATATTATTAAACGAGGTGGAGGCTATACTGAGTCAAACCGTACCTGGTACTCTGTGAGGTTCGGCAGCATGCTCGTGAGAAGCATCTTGGAAGCTTCATACGCGCCCGTGCGCACCCCATGGCTCGCAAACTGCCCGAGAATGGCGGGCGGCGCTCCCCGGTACAATCCCTGGATGCCGATGGATGGCACCGATCGCACCACCTCTGAAAGCGAGGCTGAGGAGGCTTGTACCCGCGTCTGGTGGTGAGTGAGGGAAGGAGGGAGTGAGAGGAAGGGCAGCTTGAGAGAGATGGGGCTTGGTCGTCTCACAAACTGCCCCAGGATGGCCAGCAGGGCTCCGCGATACAATCCCTGAATGCCGATGGATGGCACTGATCGCACCACCTCGGAGAGCGAGGCTGAGGAGGCTTGCACGCGGGTCTGGTGGTGGCAAGGAGGGAGGGAAGGAGGGAGTGAGAGGAAGGGCAGCTTGAGAGAGATGGGGCTTGGTCGTCTCACAAACTGCCCCAGGATGGCCAGCAGGGCTCCGCGATACAATCCCTGAATGCCGATGGATGGCACTGATCGCACCACCTCGGAGAGCGAGGCTGAGGAGGCTTGCACGCGGGTCTGGTGGTGGCAAGGAGGGAGGGAAGGAGGGAGTGAGAGGAAGGGCAGCTTGAGAGAGATGGGGCTTGGTCGTCTCACAAACTGCCCCAGGATGGCCAGCAGGGCTCCGCGATACAATCCCTGAATGCCGATGGATGGCACTGATCGCACCACCTCGGAGAGCGAGGCTGAGGAGGCTTGCACGCGGGTCTGGTGGTGGCAAGGAGGGAGGGAAGGAGGGAGTGAGAGGAAGGGCAGCTTGAGAGAGATGGGGCTTGGTCGTCTCACAAACTGCCCCAGGATGGCCAGCAGGGCTCCGCGATACAATCCCTGAATGCCGATGGATGGCACTGATCGCACCACCTCGGAGAGCGAGGCTGAGGAGGCTTGCACGCGGGTCTGGTGGTGGCAAGGAGGGAGGGAAGGAGGGAGTGAGAGGAAGGGCAGCTTGAGAGAGATGGGGCTTGGTCGTCTCACAAACTGCCCCAGGATGGCCGGCACGGCTCCCCGGTACAATCCCTGTATGCCGATGTAAGGCACGGATCGCACCACCTTTGAAAGGGAGGCTGAAGAGGCTTGCACGCGCGTCTCGCGGTTGTAGTGAAGGAGGGTGGGAGAACCGGGGAGCAAGAAGAAGAAAGGATGGCTTGCAAACTGCCCGAGGATGGCTTGCAAACTGCCCGAGGATGGCTTGCAAACTGCCCGAGGATGGCTTGCAAACTGCCCGAGGATGGCTTGCAAACTGCCCGAGGATGGCTTTCAAACTGCCCGAGGATGGCTTGCAAACTGCCCGAGGATGGCTTGCAAACTGCCCGAGGATGGCTTGCAAACTGCCCGAGGATGGCTTGCAAACTGCCCAAGGATGGCTTGCAAACTGCCCGAGGATGGCTTGCAAACTGCCCGAGGATGGCTTGCAAACTGCCCGAGGATGGCTGGCGGAGCCCCCAGGCACAATCCTTGGATGACGATGGAAGGCACGGATCCCACCACCTCTGAAAGGGAGGCAGGCTTGCACATGCGTCTGGTGGTGGTAGTGAGGGAGGCCGGGAGAAAGTGAGGAGCGAGAACAAGAAAGGATGTCTCACAAAGTGCCCCAGGATGGTGGGCAGAGCTCCCCGGTACATCCCCTGGATGCCGATGAATGGTGCTGATCTGATGACTTCTGACGAGTCTGGTGGTGAGGGAGGGAGGACGAGCGCGGGTGATAGGTATGGAGCGGTTGGGTTGGGTTGGGTGCGCAATGCAGTGCCCCAGTATGGCCGATTGAGCCCCTTGATCAAGTCCTTGGATGCCGATGGATTGAAGTGAACTGAGCTCAGCACCCTTTCTTCTGGATGTCAGGGACGCTCACTGGCATTCTTCCTTACACCCACTCCTTATAGTCACACCCACCTTGATGGTGTCCAAGGGGTGCATGAGGCACGTAGACAATCCCGAGGCCAGCCCACTCTCACTGCTTCAAAGCCACGCTCCACTGCTTACCATCACCCACACCCACACCCACACCCACACCCACACACACACCCACACACACACCCACACCCACACCCACACCCACACCCACACACACACCCACACACACCCACACACACACCCACACCCCCACCCACACCCACACCCACACCCCCACCCACACCCCCACCCACACCCCCACCCACACCCACACCCCCACCCACACCCACACCCCCACCCACACCCACACCCCCACCCACACACACACCCACACACCCACACCCACACCCACACACACACCCACACACACACCCACACACACACCCACACCCACACCCACACCCACCTTGATGGTATCCAAGGGGTGCATGAGGCATGTCGACAATCCCGAGGCCAGCCCGCCCGCAAGGGCGGATTTGATCACGCTGCCAGCTGGCGCTGACGTGGCAGCGGGCGGCGCCATTGGGACCATGGTGGCCGCGTCGTACCACACCATGCTGTGCGGTTGACGAGGGGCAAGGGGGGAGGGGGGGGAGGGGGGAGAGATAAGGAAAAGAGAAAGAAGAGTCGTACACCTGGTGTGATGCGCCATTGGGACCATGGTGGCCGCGTCGTACCACACCATGCTGCGTGTGTGTGGATAAAGGGGGGCTGGGGAGGGTGGTGTGTTGGGAGGGAAGGAAGAGACGAGGGAAGTGGGCCGAATATTCGTACCATGGGGCCCATGGTGGCCGCGTCGTACCACACCATGCTGCGTGTGGGGAAGATGAGTGAGAGAGGGGGGGGTTGGGAGGGTGGGAGGGAGGAGGTAAGCGGGGAGAGGAGAATAGGAGCAGCCATCATGTGTGGTGAGCCATCATGTGTGGTGAGCCATCATGTGTGGTGAGCCATCATGTGTGGTGAGCCATCATGTGTGGTGAGCCATCATGTGTGGTGAGCCATCATGTGTGGTGAGCCATCATGTGTGGTGAGCCATGGGGACCATGGTGGCTGCATCGTACCACTCCATGCTGCGGAGGGGAAGAGGGGGGTAGGAGAAGGGTGGGTGAAGAGGGGAGGAGAGGGAAGAGGGGGGTGTGGGAGGGAGGAGGAGGGTAATGGGGAGAGGAGAATAGGCGCAGCCATCATATGCGGTGCGCCATGGGGTGTGGTGTGGGGGTGTGAGGGGTTGTAGGTGTGGGATTGTGTGGGGGTGGGGTGTTGGTGTTAGGCCCCAATCTCACATTTTGTACTTGTACTTTTATATCCTAGTTTAGTGTAGTTTGCACTTTGTGTTTGGTTGGGTGTACACCCACATCCCAACCAAACCCAAATGTAATCTCCAAGCAATCTCCAACCCACCAATTGGAGATTGCCTTGGGATTACCCTTGATTCCCTAGGATTGCCTCCTGATTCCCTCCTCATCCCTACCTTGCTCATTCCGGATGTACTTAAAGAGCTTTGAGCTCACTACTATAGTATCGATTCTAAGCTCAAGTTCTGACATGGTAATCAGAGCAGCTCAACCGCATACGCGGATCGTGATCCTCTCATCTCTGCGGATACTTGTCCCGCAAACCTCGGGGAAGCCATCGCCAATCTCGTCGCCGTTGATTCGCGACATTCATCGGCGGAATTTCTCCCGCCAAATCTTCCCGTCACCATCGACGGAAACTTCTCTGGTAAGCGCATCGTCGGCGCTCTAACCTAACACTCGTTTTCATCAATTCGTCACTTCTTCTCCTCGACGGGCTGCCGCCCGTCGCCCTGCAGCTTCTCGTCGGGCCGCCGCCCGTCGCCCCGCAGCGTCATCTTCGGGCTGCCGCCCGTCGCCCCGCATCTGCACTCCTACCCCCATCCCCCCTCTTTCCCGCAGCTGAACAGGTGCAGCAACGCAGCCGAGCAGCAGCGTAGCCGCGAAGCTGAGGGTGGTGTGTGGGGGGGTGTGTGGGAATAGGACTAGTAGGTAGTTGACACTAAATTGGCGTCTCAGTCAAATTCTCCTTCGTAAACCCTAAACCTCCGGTTCTTCAAAATCTCCTTTGGAAACCCCAAACCTCAAGTTCCTATTGGTGACTTAAGAGCGGCGCTCCGCGCGAGAAGTTAAGGGGTCTCCACCATGGCTTTCTCGTCTTCCACCATGGCGAACCCCATCACCCCGCTCCGCCTTGAAGCCGATGGCTCTAGCTCCAACTTCAAGGCGTGGAGCTACGGAGTTGACAAGCACCTCCTGAGCCGTGACGTGCAGGGCCTTGACCTCAAGGACGTCCTCCTCAACCGTGGCAAGGGGAAACAGCCCACTCTTCCCCGTGAACCGACCGAATCTTCAAGTGATGCTGACGTGATGACGTACGAAGAAGCTATTGAGAAGTACCGGAAGTGGGAGAAGGCCGATGCTGCCATCATCAGCGTCTTCATTGCCTCCACCCCTCCCGAACTTGTCAACACGTTCCACAACTACCCTACCTCCAACGCCATCTGGAAGTATCTCCAGGATCGGTTCATGAACAAGACGGCGGTGGGAGTGGCGATTCTCATCCCCAGCATGTTTCAAGTCCGCCTTGAGGACTGCTCAGGAATGGCTGACTACATCGCCAAGGTGCAGACCATTCATGGTGAACTCAAGGAGCTGGGTATAGTCTTCCCCGAACAAGCCCCTGCAGCCGCCCTTCTTGTTGGTCTCTCCTCGGCATATGAAGTGACGAGGAAGATGCTCCTCACGCTCTCAGCGGAAGACCTCACCTTTGCTAAGGTCTCCACCGCACTCCTCTCTGCCGAGAAAGACTCCACTGCTCAGGCCAAGGCATACGCCATCCGTGCTCCCATGCCCCTAGCAAGTGTTGCAGCGGCCCTTGCCTCGGCGCCTTTCCAGCGCAACCGCTTTCCTCCGTGCACCTACGTCGTCAAGTATGGCAACCGCAAGGGACAAGTGTGTGGTGGCACTAACCACCCCCTTGCCACGTGCTTCAAGAAGAAAGACGACGAGTGGTATACCATCCACGGGGTTGACAAGAAGCCGCCAAACTGGATGCGCGCTCGTAAGGCCAATCTCGTTGAGGTCCAGGACCCCTCTTCGGCTAGTGCTAGTGATAGTGCTCTTGTTGATGTGCGTATCAACCTGTTGTTTCCTGGCACTGCCATGATTAATGAAGCCACTTCCCAGTACATCGACTCATCACAGGCACCACAGTACATAGAGTTCACACTCGACAGTGGGGCCACTCACACTGTGCTCAAGGAGACACTCTCCTTCAAACCCTATCCAGCACCTATCCCTCTCTTGGGAGCTGACTCCAGCTTCACCACCCTAGCCAAGGGCACCTCCACAGTCCCATGCCCAGCCTTCCCTTCCGGCACCGTCACTGGCATGTGCGTGCCTTCACTACGCCACAATCTAGTGGCTCAAACAGAAATTCAGAAAGCAGGGCTACGCACCATCTTCTCGGAGAATGAGGACCACTGCGACATCATTGACCCACTCACCAACAAGGTCTTGGCCCGCTTCACCCTCAATAGCAGCGGCCTCTACACGCTACGCGTTCCTCTCCCACAGGTTTCAACCACCCAAGCACAGGCTCCCATCACACCATGCACATGTCGCAGCCTCTCCAACCCGACCATCCTCTATCATCATCGGTTAGGGCACCCAAACTTCCGCACGCTTGCTGACATGGCCTCCAAGAAACTTCTTCTCGGCCTGCCAGCCACACTTCCTCCACCACCTGACTCACCCGCTCCCACGTGCCTTGATTGCACCAAGAGCAAACTGCGCCAACAGCCCCACACTGCCTCACCCACAATCGCAGCGGCACCACTGGACCTAGTGCACATGGACGTCTGGGGCCCTGCCCCTGTTCTTGCACGAGGTGGATATCGCTACTTCCTAGTTATCGTGGATGACCACTCACGATACGTCTCTGTTCACCTCCTCCACACTAAGGCTGAGGCTCCAGAGGTCATCATGGCGTGGGTCAAGCAGGCACAGACCACCTTTGACCGCAAGGTCAAGCGCCTTCACTCGGATGGGGGGGGTGAATTTTGCAACGACAAGCTTAAAGCCTTCTGCTCCTCCGAAGGCATCCAGCAAAACTTCACCCTCCCTGACAGCCCTCAACAGAACGGCATAGCTGAGAGCCGCAACCACACTCTAGTGCAGATCACTCGGTGCCTCCTCAGCCACTCCAACGCTCCACACTCTCTCTGGGGATACGCTCTCTACCACGCCGCCCTCCTCTACAACCTTTACCCCCATCCGCACCTTCCCGATACCACTCCAACCACACTCTGGCTCGGGAAAACGCCCACTGCTCGCTCTCTTCGCGTTTGGGGATGCACCGCCTATGTCCTCCTCAACCCTCAGGCTCGACGCCAGAACGGTGGCAAGCTCGGTCCCAAGACTCAAACGTGCATCTACCTTGGGCACAACGCCGACTCACCTGACTACCTCTTCCTCAATCCCTCCACTCAACAGTTGGTCAGGAGCCGCGACGTTGTCTTTGATGAGACCCGCCCATTCTACTCCCCTTCGGGACGGGACCCTCTCCCTGATCCACCCTCCCTCGTGTGGGCAGACTTTGACGCGCCTCCCGACCTCCCGCCTGCTCCTGCCCCCTCACCTCCTCCCTCTCCTGCCATCCCACCATCTCCCTCTGAGGTCTCTGACCCGGCCTCACCGGTGTCTTCGGCGGCTGCTCCGCCCCCCCCCTCACCTTCCTCACTTCCCGCTGCGCCGCCCCCTCCGAGCGCACCTATCACCTACCATCGGCGGTCCCACCCTCCGGCCCCACCTCCTCCCCCAGTTCCCCCCACCACAGAGGAACCCGCTCTCCCACAGTCGCCCGAGCTGATCACGTACCGCCGGCGGCCCATTCCCCCACCCAAGCCTCCTAAGTCACCCTCTCCGACACCGCCTGCCCCGCCCTCCTCACCGGTGGCTCATGGCACCCGCTCCCATCGCGCTGCTCTTCCACTCGCAATGGTTCTTCGATACACAATGATCACACCGCCTCCTCCTGCTGGGGGGGATGTGCCCTCTACCCTTCTAGAAGACAGGCATGAGGAGCTGTGTGATCTCCATGCAGTCATTCCTCAGCTCTCACACATCTTCCCCGATATCACTGGCTCACCCTCCCTCAACCTCGCGGAGAACCCAACCATCCCTATCCCTCTCACCATCCAAGAGGCTCTCTCAGGCCCTCATGCTACCGAATGGCGTGCTGCCATGGACGCGGAGATTGCAGCATTCACTCGCAACCACTCTTTCGATGACGAGACTCCACCTCCAGGAGTCAACATCGTCGGGGGCAAGTGGTTGTTCCGTGTAAAACAGCTCCCAGACGAGGCACCGGTGTTCAAAGCGCGTTACGTAGCCAAGGGCTTCACCCAGCAGCGGTACCGCGACTTCGACCTAATCTTCTCCCCCACATCCAAACCTCCCACCATTCGAACGCTCATGGATGTTGCAGCTCGAGAAGACTTTGAGATCAAATCCATGGATGCCTCCTCCGCTTTCCTACAAGGACGTCTCAAGGAGACAGTGTTCATGGACAGACCAGAAGGCTTCCCAGGAGAATTCCCTCCCAACACAGTCTGGAAGCTGAATCGCCCCGTCTACGGCCTTAAACAAGCCCCTCGCGAATGGCACAACAAGGTGAAAGAAGTCCTCCTCTCCCTGGACTTCCACCCCTCAACTGCTGACCCGACTCTCTTCATCCGTCGTCATTCTGAGCCATTCTACATCCTAGTCTACGTGGATGATTTTATCCTCGTTGCCAAGGACTCGGCCCAAATGACCTCTGTCCAGGCAGCCCTGAGCAAGGCCCTCCAGATGAAAGACCTTGGTGACCTCAAGCACTACCTGGGAATGGAGATCACTCGTGATCGCAAGGCTCGCACCATCTCACTCTCCCAGGAGTTCTACATCGACAATGTGCTCAAGCGGTTTGAGATGGAGCTGTGCACACCTGTTGCCACCCCGCTGCCGCTGCAACACCTCCTTACAGCTCCTGCTGTACCCACACCAGAGGCCTGCTCTGAGCCATACCCGGAACTTGTTGGGTCCCTCATGTACGCCATGATGTGCACCCGACCGGACTTGGCCTACCCAGTCAGTGTTCTCTCTCGTTACGTGGCCCCGGGTCGCTTCACTAATCTTCATTGGAAGGCAGCAAAGCGGGTGCTGCGCTATCTTAAGGGCACAAAGTCCCACGTTCTCACACTCGGTGGGCTCTCCCCTCCTCGCCTGGAAGGTTACACAGACTCCTCCTGGGCTGATGACCAGACCGACCGGCGCTCCTCTCAGGGGTACTGCTTCACCCTCGGGAGCGGAACTGTCAGTTGGCGCTCCACCAGGTCGTCTGCAGTCTCCCTCTCCTCCTGTGAGGCGGAGCTCTACGCAGGCACCATGGCTGCTCAGGAGGCCCGTTGGTTCACCTTCCTACTCCAAGAGCTTGGCTTCCCTCAGTCAGCCCCCACCCTCTGGTGTGACAACCAGAGTACCATCCACATCTCTCAAGACCCTGTGTATCACACCCGCACCAAGCATATTGAACTTCGGCACTTCTTCATTCGTCACCTTGTGCAACAAGAGCAGCTGAAGGTGGAATACGTGGCATCTGACTGCAACCTGGCTGACCTGTTCACCAAGCCCCTTGGGAAGGTTCCCCACCATCGTCTCCTTGGCGCCATGGGGCTCTGCGCTCCTCCTTCTCCGCCATGAGTTCGATTGACGCCTCAGGGGGGGTGTTGGTGTTAGGCCCCAATCTCACATTTTGTACTTGTACTTTTATATCCTAGTTTAGTGTAGTTTGCACTTTGTGTTTGGTTGGGTGTACACCCACATCCCAACCAAACCCAAATGTAATCTCCAAGCAATCTCCAACCCACCAATTGGAGATTGCCTTGGGATTACCCTTGATTCCCTAGGATTGCCTCCTGATTCCCTCCTCATCCCTACCTTGCTCATTCCGGATGTACTTAAAGAGCTTTGAGCTCACTACTATAGTATCGATTCTAAGCTCAAGTTCTGACATGGGGATGGGGGGTTGTGTGGGGGTGGGGATGGGGGGTTGTGTGGGGGTGGGGATGGGGGGTTGTGTGGGGGTGGGGATGGGGGGTTGTGTGGGGGTGGGGATGGGGGGTTGTGTGGGGGTGTGGGTGGGGGTTGTGTGGGGGTGGGGGATGGGGGGTTGTGTGGGGGTGTGGGTGGGGGTTGTGTGGGGGTGGGGGATGGGGGGTTGTGTGGGGAGACGACACACCTTAAACACAAAGCTAAAATGCAGGGAAAAAGTGATGGAGAGGAGGGCAGGTACGCTTCTTGCCACCTCACTACACCTCACTGCACCTCTGCCCACCAGTCCTTCCTCCAACCAACCCTTCCTCTCTTAGTCTAGCGACAGCACTGATCGGCTGCGCTGCCAACCGAATGGCTGCTCAGCCTGACACTGCACTGCTCTACAGCCATTCGGATGGCAGCACAGCCCAAGAGACAGAGCAGCTGCAGCAGCAATCACGGCAGCTGGGTGGCAGCAGGGGCGGCTAAAACACCAGCAGCAGCAGCAGCAGCAGCAGCAGCAGCAGCAGCAGCAGCAGCAGCAGCAGCAGCAGCAGCAGCAGATGCCCTTGCTCTCCATAAACATCGTTCCCCATCATCCCCTCACCTGGGGTCACTTCCTTGCAGCCGTTCGGGCGGCAGCAACAGCAGAAAGTTCCGAAAGTCCCCATAGGTTACGTGGCCCGACTCGTCTGCATCTAGGAACCGCATCATTGCCCGCACGTTGCTTTCTGTTGCTGGCAGGCCGGCCTTCTCCAGTGACGCGAACACCTGGCGGGGAGAGTTGGGGGGGAAGGGAGAGGAAGGGAGGGAATAGTAAGGTAAGTCCCCATAGGTGACGTGACGTGCCCGGACTCGTCTGCGTTTAGAAACCGCATCGTGGCCCGCACGTTGCTCTCTGTTGCTGGCAGCCCGGCTTTTTCCAGTGAAGCAAACAGCTGGTGGCAGGAAAGGAGAGGACGGAGGGAGGGAGAAGAAGGAAGGGGAAGGGAAAGGAGGGACAGGAGAGGAGTGAGGGAAGAGGAACAGAAGACCCCACAGGACATGCGTTCAGAAACCGCATCATAGCTCGCACGTTGCTCTCTCGCTGCATGCTCTTGCGCCCTCTGCAGCGTGCCTCTGCATGGAGGGTACATTCGCCTCCATGAACGTCTGAAATTGTCGTTTCATTATTGGTGAGTCTGAGCTTGCGGTTTCTTTAACGCTTCAACAGTCAATGCCCACCCCACGCACCTGTCCCTTCTGCAGCGTCCCTGCCGACCCCACACACAGCTAAGTAAAAGCCTGGAACATCGCCGGCTCCTTGGCCTCCATGAACGTCTGGAACTCCTCCCACCCGAACTAATCTTGACTCCAGAGTCTTCACGCACCCCTCCTCCCACAGGTCAGCCACGCCACGAGCCATCCCTCCCAATGCTCCACTCACCTGGCCTTTCTGCAGCGTGCCTGACGACCCCACACACAGCGACGTGAACGCTCGCAGCATGGCGGGCTCCTTAGCCTCCGTGAACGACTGGAACTCCTCCCAACCGAAGGAAGAGGCCAGCCAGTGGCGTGTGACCATGTAACCATGTAACCATGCCATGGACCCCCTCTCTCTCACTGCACGCACCTGTCCCTTCTGAAGCGTCCCAGGCGATCCCACGCATAAAGAGGTGAACGCTCGCAGCATGGCGGGCTCTTTGGCCTCCATGAACGACTGGAACTCCTCCCTCCCAGTTGACCCGTTTGACCAGTCACAGCCCACGCACCTGTCCTTTTTGGAGCGTCCCAGAGGACCCCACGCATAAAGAAGTGAACGCTCGCAGCATGGCGGGTTCTTTCGCCTCCATGAACGACTGGAACTCCTCCCACCCGAAGGAAGAGGCCAGCCAGTGGCGCCGGAGGCGGCGGAGCAGCGGGCGGGCGTGCGCTGCTGGCAGGCGGCGTCTTTTGAGCGCCCTTTCGAGGTCCTCCAGCTTCACCTGCCCGTCCCCGTCCTTGTCCAGCTCGGCAAAGAGCCGCCGGCCTGATGGGGGGGGATTTGAGGTGGGGAAGGGAATGGCGGAATATAGTAGGGAGGAAGAGGTGGGGGATCGTTGAAGACTGTCAGTCAAGGCAGCAGCTTGAAGGCCCCCTCCAGGTCCTCCAGCTTCACCTGCCCGTCCCCGTCCTTGTCCAACTCGGCAAGCAGGCGCCGGCCTGATGGGTGAGGCGGGTGGGGGGGAATTGGGGAGGTTGGGATTGGAGGCTGGGGGACGACAAGCAGGCGCCGGCGCTTCAGCTCTCTTTCGAGATCCTCCAGCTTCACCTGCCCGTCCCGTCCTTGTCTAGCTCGGCAAAGAGCCGCCGGCCTGATGGGCGAGGGGGCTGGGGGGGAAAGGGGAGGTTGGGATTGGAGGGATGGGGGCGGAGGCCATCAGGACATGACAACGCGGCTACAGCGCCCTCTCAAGTTCCTCTAGCTGCACCTACCCGCCCCCGCCCTTGCCCAACTCTGAGAACAGTCGACGGCCTGATGGGGGGTTGGTGGAACAAGCTCACGGCACTTGGGCTTGTTCAAGTTGTTTCTGGCTGAGAATTCTTCCCAAGAGAATTTCCTTAGAAGCAAGGAAGAACAAACAGAAAGAGAAACAGCAACTACTCTCTAATTCCTACGAATGCATTTTTATATGTACAGTATATTTACAATTCAGACATGCGGCTCGGAATGTCGATTCGGGTGGCCAGCCCCAACATCGAGCCGCATTCCATATTTCTACTCACGTTTGTACACCTCACTGCACCCACACACGTGTTACATTTCTATTCCTCCAAGTCTGGACTTTCGCCACCTGTCCCACGCGGAAGTCCCCCCAAGTCAGTCAAGGCACGAAACCTCAGTTTCGCCCTTCTCACGTGGGTCCCCCACGTCCTGCTCACTTCCGTCCCTTTGCTGCCCACGTTCGCAGTTGCACGCTGCTGCTGCATGCTTTCGCCTCCCGTGCGCTTCACGCTGCCTCTAGTGCAGCCCCCACTTGTTACAGTTGGGTTGGGGGGTTGGGGTGGCGGGAGGGGAGGGGAGGGCTCCAGTTGCACCTGCCCGTCCCCGCCCTTGTCCAACTCTGGGCTCCCGTGAACAAGCGAGGTCCCTATGGGTTGAGGAAGGGAGGGGGGTCGCCGAGGGGAAGAGGGACGAAAGGGGGGAGGGGCTGAAGGGGGTGGAATGGGGGGGGGGGGGGGGGGGGGGGGGGGGGGGGGTGTTTGGTTTGTTGGGAATGCACACCGAGAGCAACAGCTTCAGCTTGTTGAGCGTCCCGTTTTGAGGTTTGCTTGCTCGCCCTTCCGCCATTGATCCCTCTGTTAGCTCGTCTCGTCTTGCACGGACGACAACAGATTCTGCTTGTTGGGTAATCATTATTAGGGTTAACCACCCACTCGCTCACCTTCCGCCTCCGCGTATTGGAAAAAGTCTTGCACGGACGACAGCTTCTGCTTGTTCGGGTACCGCCGCGCTCCGCGCGCGCTCCCCTCCGCCCACCCGCCGATCCCCCCGCGCGCCTTGCTCCACTGCTGGATCTCCTCGAGAAGCTCCCGAAACGGCACGTGCGACAGCGTGTGCTGCACACGCGCCTCCAGCGCCGGCCGAAGCTTCTCGATGTCCGGACGAAGCTTCGTCAGGTCGGGTAGGTTCGGCGGGAGCTCGACCCGCCACCCCGCGAGCTTCGACCAGGTTACGACGCTCGGACCGGGAATCACGGCGGAAGGACCGGCATCGCCGGCCGGACCTGGGATAAGTTCCACACTGGGGTCCTTCCGCGAACCTGCGTCGACGACGGTGATGACGTCAGCGGGAGTAGCCGGGGTCGAGTCGGCGGCGGGGACTAAGAGAAGCCGTTGGCGCGGCAGCAGGATCAGCGCCTTGGAGCCCGCCGCGGAAGGCGCCGAATCAGGCGCTGCGGCGGACGGCGACGCGTCCCCTTGAAAGGCGGACGGGGCGGAGGCGGAAGGGGGGGAGGCGGAGGCGGAGGCGGAGGCGGGGGAAGCAGCGGAGTCGGCGGAAGCAGCGGAGGACTCGGAAGACGAGCCCCCAGGGATAGGGAGAGCGGCGAAGGGATTGGAGAAACGCGGGGTTTGAAGCATTTTAGCAAAAGGCAAGTGCCGACGCGCTGCGGTTCCTAGGGGACCAGCATCTGAATGGGAGGAAGACGAAGGGCAAGGAGAAGAAGACGACGCGGCAGCCATGGAATAGGAACTAAGGGGATCACCCTGTATTCTGGCTAGTAGCCGCTCTTGCTGCTGTAGCAGCTCCTGTAGCCACGCCGGCAACTGTAGCGGTTGTAGCGAATGCTGCGAATGCGGCGAGTCACGAGCCGAGATGTTACGCTTACGAGCTTCGCTACAACCGGCGGCGTTTACGCGACGACCGGCCGTTATAGCCGCTCCTTGCTTCCCGCCGTCAGCGGCATCGCCCGCGAAGGGCGGCGGCAGCGGAAGTCGCATTCTACCGCGACAAACGTTTTTAAGCGTCAGATCTTAGACGTCTTGTCCCCCGCGGGTACTATTTTTCACGCGCCTCGGGAGCAAACTTCGCCCACGGCTCTACGAGCGACCACTTGCTCTACAGCACTGAAGTAGTGGGAAACACAGTTCTTGAGGCAGCTATGGGTGCGGATATTCAATACTCCGGCCGCACCAGTCAGGCATGGATTCTCAAATATTCGCTGTGCTTTGCTGCCCTTCGCGCAGATGAAACTTCTCTGTGGAGGCACCCCTTCCTGGAGGTTTGTTGTTCGGTTCGGAATTTTGGTTTGATCAACCTCCCGAAATCGTCAGCGCAGTCACACACGTGGCGGCTGCTCTGTGGTTGTGGAATGATTTGATTTGGGAAAGCACACAAACGAGTGGTCCTTTATCGGGGTTTGCTTGACTGTTTGGCAAGACACGGCGGAATGACGTGTCCACACATCTGATTTTGGATGTCGGTACGGCACGTGTGCCACGTAAAAGAGCACACTTGAAGAAGGAATATGCCGATTATGAAATTCATGAGTTTAATGTACATATTTAATAAATAAATAATGCTAAATATCCGTTGTAGTCTAGTCGGTTAGGATATTCGGCTCTCACCAGAAAGACCCGGGTTCAAGTCCCGGCAACGGAATATTTATTTTCCATTTGCCCTCAGATTTTCCCCGCTGCCAAGGTGGCATTTCACGTGGTTTTCATGGCGCCCTCCCAGGAAATACTTCGGCAAGCCCAGTGCCTATGGTGCCACGCTTTGTGCGTCGTCAAAGCGACGACGGAATTTTGCCTGCCAGCTGTCTTCACTCGCGGTCCCACCGTTCGGAAGGTGCACTCACGCATGGCTCTCGTCGCGCGAGCATCCTGGCGCACTTTGCGGGGGCCTGACACTCTGAACTATGGCCCCAGCAGCATGAAATCCCGGCAGCAGGCCCTTCCAGCTCGTTATTCCTCACTCTCGCTAAAATAACAGGAGACTGCCGATCAGAGATCCTAAACCTAGAGTCTCTCCATTCTCTATTTGAATCTCGGAAGTCGGCGGGTCGCCGCGTTCCGTCCCTCCAACTCTCTCCGATCAGATCGCTGCGTTAGCTTTCGCCGGAATCATGCCTGCGCATGTAAGTTACTACCGTCGACTCGCCAGTCCCTTCTGTACCATTTCCATTCTACTCGCTTTCACTTCCGCTCCTTCCGTCCTTGCTGGCCCTGAATTCCCTCGCTATCTCGATTTCTCCGCTGTTCGCTATTTTTCTCTTCACCTAATTTTAACTTCTAAGGAAAAAAATGCCCCCATTTCAATCTCTTCTGTCACAACGACTCTCCGCCGCAGCGATCCGAGCGCGACCCGCGCGGAGGCTCGGGGGAGAAGCCAGATGCGCTGGAGCGGATCTCGAGGGAGGCTCGGGAATACCGCGTTCCCGTGCCTGACAACGTGCCTGTGCCTCTGGTTCGGCGCATTCGGAGTCTGGAGCTGAAACAGGTATGCGTGGAGATGAAACAGGTACGCTTGGAGATGAAACAGGTACGCTTTGAAATGAAGCAGACCGTGTAGGGTTGGACTGGTTATGCTGGTAATGGCCTGGTTTGGATCAGATCATAACTCTTGAAACTGCAAGAGTATAATTACCAGTAATGCCAGATCAGCTGTCTCTGTGCTGCTTCCTAAGATGTATGCAACACCCATCAGCAATTCCCGTCATCAACTCACAGGAGCACTCTGACAGGAGCCTATATCTGTAGTCGTCTTTGCGCTTCTCTCTCTTCCTCTCTGTCTTTGCAACTCCCTTCTCCTGCTTTTATGTGGAATGCTGGCAGCCGTTGCGGTGGTGGGTGCATGCATGGGTCCCTCCCTTCAAGGGCTAACTGTACTCTGCCATTTCCTTCATTTGCCCGCTTAACCACTCTCTGCTCTTCGTCTTTGCAATCCCCATGTGCAGTTCCTATGCGGAGTGCTGGCAGGGGGGGTGGTGGGCGCATGCACTGTTCCCTCCCTTCAAGGCTAGCCTTTCTGCCACCTATTCTTCCTTCTTTTTGCGCACCTACACGCTCTCCTCGCACTCTCTTCTCCCGTCTCTGCAATGCCTGCGTGCAGTTCCTATGCGGAGTGCTGGCAGGGGGGGTGGTGGGAGCATGCACTGGTCCCTTAAAGAACCTTCAAACGAGGGTGATTGCACAGAAGGGCGGCAGAACGGCTGCTGAGGTGGCATCCACAGCAGTGCATAACCGGGCTTTAAGGGACAGCATTCTGTCTGCGGGGCTCAAGATGCCCATCATCATGACAGCGCTGAACAGAGGCATTCAGGTGGGCTTTCAGGGACAGCATTCTGTTAACATCCATGCATGCTTTTGCGGACCCATGCGGATCCACGCAATTAATGTGAGCAACGGGTCAGCATGATATCTTAGGTAGGTACATGGTAATACACCACGGCACATGGCTTACTTACAGGTGATCACACGGTGGTGTTTGCATCCATGCACGTTCCATATTACTCCTCACGGCCCCCATCCATTTCTGTATTCCCCTCTCTCCCCTCGTTCCCTCTTGGCCTTCTCCCCTGATTCCCCATCCATTCAGTTCTACACATTTGAGACCGTCAAGGCCTGGCTGTTACGAGCCAATCAGAAGCACCCAAAAACTTTTCAGCTGCCCGAGTCGGTACCTCCCAGCTCAGTGGCAGGGGGAGCAGCAGGCCTGGCTGCCACTCTCCTCCTCTACCCCTTCTCTGCTGTCGGCGACCACATGAGTCTGCAGGTGAGTCTTCAGGTAAACCTTCAGGTGTCTTCAGGTGCCATCAGGTGAGGTAAGACCATACGAGTATGGCAGGGTATATTTCTGCTTTCCAATCTCTTTTCATACCATTGTCTGCTATCGGCGACCACATGAGCCTGGCGGCAAACTTTCAGGTGGCTTCAGGTGAGGTAGGAGTTATGCATGGCAAGGTATCCTACTAGCTGCCACTCTCCTCCTTTACCCCTTCTCTTCTGTCGGCAACAGGTGCCTTCAGGTAGCATTAGGTGTCTTCAGGTGTCGTCAGGTGCCTTTGGCTAAGGTGGGGGTATGGCAGGATATGTACGTTACTGTTCGCCTTCCTCTGTTACCTTCGTCCCACACCATTTCATTTTTCTCCTCTGCATTCCCCTCCTGCAATGTCTCTCTGTTCCCCGGCAGTCGGGAATTACTCGGGTCTGCGCCAGGCCCTGGTGGGGTTGGCATAGCAGCACGGCACCTCACACCCGTACACACATGTTCCACTCCCATTTTTACTACAATATATTACAATATTGCAGCCGGAAAGTACCCTGGTCTGCGGCAGTCCCTGGTGGGGGTGGCACAGCAGCACAGCGCCTCACAGTTGTTCTGAGCCCGTGTTCTGCTTCTTGTTGCTTCCTTATTCTGCAGCCGGAGAAATATGCGGGTCTGCGCCAATCCCTGGTGGGAGTGGCACAGTAGCTCAGCGCCTCACAGCTGTTTACACATTTTCACCTTCCATTCTCCTTACAATCTCTCTCCCATACTCCCGTTTTCAGCCAGGAAATTACCCTGGTCTGCGTCAGGCCCTGCTGGGGGTGGCACAGCAGCACGGCGCCTCACAGCTGTTCCGAGGGGTGGTGCCGAAGCTGGCCTCCATGGTCCCCGCCTCTGCCATCAACTTCCTTGTCTTCGAATCGCTGAAAGATGAAATCAAGGTGAGGTCAGATGCATACATGTTTTTGCGCTATGCCCTCAAACACTCCCGCTCTATCCCCCTCGTTTTTGTGTCAAAGCTGGCCTGGCCTCCATGGTACCCGCATCTGCCATCAACTTTCTTGTCTTTGACTCGCTCAAGCAGGAGATCAAGGTGAGATGCTTGGCATGCATGTTGCCCTATCAAGGTGAGATGCTTGGCATGCATGTTGCCCTATGCCCACACACACACACTCTATACAATGCCCTGTTGCCATACCCCTTTTCCCCCCATTCAACAGAGACGGAGGTATGGCAGAGACCCATCTGCAGCGCACACGCTCATTTCCGGCGCCATTGCAGGAGTAGCATTCACTATAGTCACACGCCCTTGGTCACACACCCCTTCGAGCTGACATGATCCCGACACCCATGACACTTTCTAACAATCCCCTGTCACCGCTGTGATCCTTTTTTGTTTCATATCAATCAGAGACAAAGAAACGGCAAAGACCCGTCTGCAGCGCACACACTCGTTGCCGGTGCCATCGCAGGAGCAGCCTCCAATATAGTCACACACCCTTGGTCACACACTGGTTTGAGTTGATAGGATCGAACATCATGCCACTTGCTAACAATGCCCTGTCTCCACTGTGATCCTTTTTTGTTTCCCATCAATCAGAGACGGAGGAATGGCAAAGACCCTTCGGCAGCGCATATACTCGTCGCCGGCGCCATCGCAGGAGCAGCATCCACTATAGTCACACACCCGTTCGAGCTCTGCCGGCGCGAGATCAACATGAGCTTGCTGCCAAAGCACGCCACCCCCACGGGCGGGCACCTAGAGTACAACTCTCTTCGGCAGGCAATGAGGGGGATACTGAGGAAGGAGGGGGTGAGGGGGCTGTACAGAGGGGTGCTGCCGAGCCTCATTGAGCTTGTGCCTGCCACGGCGATTGGGTTTATGGTGTATGAGATGGGGAAGAGGGTGATGGTGGCTGAGGGGCAGGAGAGGAGGGATGAGGTGAAGGGGTGATGGGGGTGAGACGGGGGTTGCGGGGCTATGTTGAGTTGTTACTGAAACTTGAACTGGTGCCTGCCATTGCGATTGGGTTCTTGGTGTATGAGACGGGGAAGAGAGTGATGGTGGCCGAGGGGCAGGAGGGGAGGGATGAGGTGAAGGGCTGAGGCATGGAAGGATGAGTGTGGATGAGGATGGAGAGTTGGGCTTCCTTGCTAGTTTTAGAATACTTATGAAGGAGATACGTACGTATGTAAATTTTCTATTTGCAAATATGATGTGTGTATCAACGTGCTGCGTATGCAACCATTTGCCTGTACAGTTTGTGGACCAATTTTTGTAAGCAGTTTCTTGCAAGTATACGTAAATTTACAGTGTCACTTAAAGCCGTTGGCCCAAATTGCACAAGTTTTTAAAACTTGGCCCAGGGGAACAACGGGTGGCGAGGGGTGTGAAAGTGAAAGTTGGGAGCCGAAAGAAGGCACACCCAGTAAGCGAAATCGCGAATTGTTTAGCGAACAGCCGAGTCAAACAATAGAAAACCAGCCAATAGAAATTGTCGCACGGCGCACCACACATCGCGACCAAAAAACACACAACACAACACTTCCGCAGCTCTTGCGCTGCCACACACAACACCATGACCTAGGCTTTCGACAACCAACCATGAGGCCCGCTAGTACTTGATACTGCATACAGCAGCCAACTACAGTAGGCGGCACGAGCAAGCACACTTGCGTCGCGGATGATAAAACTGCCATATCCTTAGCATTACGACAGCCATAAAGGTTGCAGTTGAGATAAAAAACGTCACACGACCGTCATCAACAAACATAACCACTTCATTCGAGACGGCGAGATAGGGAATATGGTCCGTCGCCCTGGAAAGGATGCTTCCCGAAGGTACGAAAAAGCCGTAGACACGGCACGAACGTCGGCGCATTCTGAAAGCATCGGATAACGTCATATGGCACTACGTGGGAAACCTCACTTTCGCTCAATAAATAGCGACGCCACTTGACCATCTTCAAGGCACCCACCTTCGCCATCACTTCCCCCTACTGTCGCCATCACTTCCCCCTCCCGTCGCCTCCACTTCCCCCTCACGTCGCCTCCACTTCCCCCTCCCGTCGCTTCCACATCCCCCTACAGTCGCCTCCACTTCCCCCACCCGTCGCCTCCACTTCCCCCTCCCATCGCCTTCCCTTTTCCTTCCCGTCGCCTCCACTTCCCCCTCCCGTTGCCTCCACTTCCCCCTCCCGTCGCCTCCACTTCCCCCTCCCGTCGCCTCCAGTTCCCCCTCCCGTCACCTCAACCTGCCCCTCCCGTCACCTCAACTTCCCCCTCCCGTCGCCTCCACTTCCCCCCCCCGTCACCACAAGTTCCCCTTTTCCCCCTGTGTGGTCCATTTCCCCCTTTGCTCGCCCCTTAATTCCCCTACTCACTCCCTTGCCCCTTGAACACACTCTTCCCCTCTGCTCTTTCCCTTGCTCCCTGTGTAGTATATTTCCCTCTCCTTAACCCTTGCTTACTTGCGTTCCCCCTTAGCTCACCCCCTTCTCCACCCTACTCACTCACTTTCCCCCTTTTCTCACCCCCTTCTCCACCCTGCTCACTCTCTTTCCCTTTCTACACCCTGCTCACCCCTTTCTACACCCTGCTCACCCCTTTCTACACCCTGCGCACTCTCTTTCCCCCTTTCCTCACCCCCTTCACCACCCTGGTCATTCTCTTTCCCCCTTTGCTCACCCCCTTCAACACACGGCTCACTCTCTTCCACACTTGCTCACCCCCTTCTACGCCCTGCGATCTCTATTTCCCCTACAAACACCCTCCCTGTCCCCCAGTCCTACCCTCCCTTCCCCCCCCTCCACCTCGTCCTTCCCCGCACTACCCTTTCCTTTCCACCACACCCGCCCGTCCAATCCCCCACTTCCCCCGATCCAATCCCCCACTTCCCCCCATCCAATGCCCCACTCCCCCCCGTCCAATCCCCCACGTCCCCCCGTCCAATCCCCCACTTCCCCCCATCCAATCCCCCACTTCCCCTGGTCCGCTTTTCCCACACCACTAGGGCCACACCACCTTTCCGACCGTGCATGCCCTCCTATCTTGCAGCGACCCATTTCATCCTAGGTGCGCCCTCCCGTACAGCGCCTCGTTCTCACCAGCACCATCAACACCACCCATTCACCACACCATCAACACCACCCACTCACCAGCACCATCAACACCACCCACTCACCAGCACCATCAACACCACCCACTCACCAGCACCATGATTATGGCGGTTGAAATGCGCTCGCATCACCTCACACGGGTGATGCGGGGGGAAGATGCTACAGGATGGGTTGTAAGAAAAGGAGGGGATGTGAACCTGCAGAGGGGAAGGTGGGAGAGGCACCACAGTGGGCTCCTTTCCCCCACTTATTATTCCCCGTCGGGGCTCATCATCTGTTTTGGTGTCCACCGTCAATCTCGTCCATCTTTCCTCATTCAAATGCTGCTGAATCTGCGCGCACGCCCAGCGTTGTCGCGCAGGAAATACAAGTTGTCCGTCATTGTCTTTGGCTGTTGGGGTCTCCCTCGTAACGCATATCTAGCCATCGATTCCAAACCGTGCAAATCTACACACCATTTCTAAACCCAACCTTCAGGCGTGGGAGGCAGACGGATGCAAGAGCAAGTGGAGGGTCCACTGTAGCGAATCTTAGCGACGAGCATGACAAGGCGGTTCACGGCATATCCAAGCATATGAGGCCAGTCATATGCCTTCAACGATGCGGGTTGTCGGCATTGATGGGGGGGAAGACCGAGGCGACAACTGCTGATGTTCTTTACTACTTCATGATGAACGCCCCTACAGCGTACAAACGGCTGATGCGGGCTGCCAAAGAAGCAGGTAAGGGTGGAAAGTTGGTGATCAAGTCCTAGCATGGTCGTGTGTCCGTGATAGTTGAGCAATCTGAACGTTTAGCGCATCACAATGGCACAAGCAGCCACACAATAATGGATGGGATATACTTGGTGTCACCGTTGTTCCGTGGCAGGAACACATGGGGGAGATGCATTGGCGACGGCAGAGCTTCACCTTGAGGCATACGGGCGCCAGTTCGATGCACGGGCAAACAGTGGTATTAACGCCGTAACTGGGATAGTGGAGAAGGCAGATCGCCCAATCGAGGGTCTGGTTTACAACTTCCCGCCCTACAAAGAGGATAAGAAGGGGAAAATACGCCCTGTTCGTGGAAACGGTTGGGGTGGGGCCCGAAGGGGTAAAGCCTTCGAGAGCGTGCGGAGACAAGGTGAGCAACAGCGTGGCGTTGGCACAAGAGTATGCTATGTTGGTCATACAACCATGCAGCATGCTTCATACGGAGGGTTTGTGAAGGCTGTACTGTTTATGAAGCGAAACTTAACTAGAGTCTGAATGCAAGTGCGTGTATACCCTAATGATTCTGATACATGGCGTGTGTGCAGAGGTTGCCCAATCAACAGGAGCTGAAACAGAGGGGGTTGCTCCAAACCTGCAGCCTCATCCTTGCACAATAGTTAGCACTGAAAGCAGCCAAGAGCACGCGGTACTCCATGCAGCTGGCGTACCAGATCAAGCCCAAAGGTGAGACAGTGCGTAGATGGGGTTGGTTGAATGAGGTGTAAAACTAGGGGTGGTATTGAATGAATAGGTGGAAAGTGAAGACATTCGAGCATGCACGAGTCCTCACACACCTACACATGCCCGCACGTGTGCATGAGCTCATAAGAATACAGACACATGCACGCACCTATGGCACCATGCAGTCACATGCGCACGCACCTTTGGCGCACCATGCAGTCATACGCACCTTTGGCACCATGCAGTCACATGCGCACGCACCTTTGGCGCACCATGCAGTCACATGCGCACGCACCTTTGGCGCACCATGCAGTCACACGCACCTTTGGCACCATGCAGTCACACGCACCTTTGGCACCATGCAGTCACACGCACCTTTGGCACCATGCAGTCATCACCGCCCTGGCGAGTATGTCACACGCCCAGCATGTCACTTCACACGCCCAGCATGTCACTTCACACGCCCAGCATGTCACTTCACACGCCCAGCATGTCACTTCACACGCCCAGCATGTCACTTCACACGCCCAGCATGTCACTTCACATGCCCAGCATGTCACTTCCCACGCCCAGCATGTCACTTCACACGCCCAGCATGTCACTTCACACGCCCAGCATGTCACTTCACACGCCCAGCATGTCACTTCACAGTGTCACAGCAATCAATTCTGGCCCATTGTAACAACTCCACCTGCCTACTCTTCCTCTCCCTTCCGCCTTTCCACCTCCTCCCCATATGCCCCGCCTTGTGCCCTCCCATTGCGCCCTCCCTTGTGCCCTCCCATTGCGCCCTACCTTGTGCCCTCCCATTGCGCCCTGCCTTGTGCCACGTGCCATTGCGCCCTGCCTTGTGCTCTCCCATTGCGCCCTGCCTTGTGCCCTCCCATTGTGCCCTGCCTTGTGCCCTCCCATTGCGCCATGCCTTGTGCCCTCCCATTGCGACCTGGATTGTGCCCTCCCATTGCGCCCTGCCTTGTGCCCTCCTATTGCGCCCTGCCTTGTGCCCTCCCATTGCGCCATGCTTTGTGCCCTCCCATTGCGACCTGGAGTGTGCCCTCCCATTGCGCCCTACCTATGGGCCCTCCAGGAATACTCATCAGGATGGGCCCCTCAAGGATACTCCAGTTCCAGTCCCGAGAGGGTGGCCACGTGCTCCAGCCGTCATGGACATGTCACCGTACATGGTATGTTTCTTGGAGCCAAGACACATGCTAGAAGCATTAGCACCACTGCGTATCAGTTGCACAAGAAAAGGCTGCGGCGGGAGCATGTCCCTCGTGTCATGGAAAACTACATGGGCGTCTCTTGGTCTTTATTGGCACTGTAATACCTGCCCTAGCCGCACGGAGATATGGACAAGCCCGAAAAAAGAAAACGATCAGAATGGGAAGCGGACGGGGCCAAAGTCTATACAACTTATGCAAAAGTTTGTGGGTGCGTTTGCCCTCGGAGGGGTAGGGTTTCAAGTGATGTAGGAAGTGTGTCGCAATCTTGGACTGCCGAATCCTGGAAGAGGAACATTTTACCGACTGTTGCAGGGTGAAAAGGGTTTGTGGAAGGCCATCATTCGTGCAGCCCAAGAATCTATGGCATCAGTGCGTGATAGCCTGTCTATGAGGGAAGGTGGCGTGGGATACATAAGCGTAGATGGTAGATACTCACAAGCTCGTGAAGCTGAGTATTGCACTGTGTCATTTCTACATCCCGAGAGTAGGAAAATATTGCACACAGAGACTACGAAGAAGTATGTTAATGATCCATCGTCTCCTAGGCTAGAAAGCGTTGCCTTCAATATGGGCATGGACTTCTTAAGGAATGTGGGGTTTGAAGTGGCTGGAATTGTTACGGATGAGGGTAGTACGTTTCGGACTGTGGCTGCGGACAGAGGGATTGGACACCAGCACGATTGGTGGCACAAAAGGCGATCTGTGGTCAAGAGCTTTGAAAACGAATTGCAAAATCGTGTGAGGGATGTGGTCGAAATTGATAAGGCGAAGGTTGTTGAGGACCTGCATATGCATACGGTCGTGAAGCTAAAAGGGTGGTTGCAGAAGAAGGCCCCAGGCAAGGTGGTTGGGTCCAATGGAAAAGACAAGTTGATCGAGGACATTTGCTCTGAGCTCGGCATCGAGTACCAGTTTGTGGATCCGGCAGATGCAAAATGGGAACATCCTGACTTGCAGCAGGTTGTGAGCGCAACAAACGCGCAAGGGGCTGGTCAAGGTGTGGGGGAATTAGAGGAGCGGGATGATGAGGAGGCAGCAGACAAAGTGGATGTACCTGTTATGCTTTCACTAATATATAGTCGAGGCATGGGCCGTCATCAGGATGGGCCGGAAGAGGGTGGGGATGCAGTGGAAATGATAGAAGGACCGGTGAGGGTGGATGTCTCTTGGCCGGATGTGGAAGAATTATGGCAATATGACATCCACCCAGTGCATGGATTGCGACCATCGTCTCAGGCATCATTGGTGGTCACACTTGCGTGCAATGGTGCACGCGCCGAAGCGGATTTCATGGAGCGTGTAGCAGATATCTTACCCGGATCTCCTGCTCAAAGAGGTGAGCTTAGCACTCCTGCACCCACTCAAATTGCTCGCACATTTCAGTCACACCATTTCCGCCACTCACACAGCTCACTACCACAATGTCAGGCCCCCACAGAGCTCAATATCACCACTCCAGCCCCCCACACAGCTCATAACCACCACTCCAGCCCCTCACACAGCTCATCTTCACCACAACTGCCCCATACACATTTCATTACCATCACTACTGCCCACCTCCTGAGCCCCTCACATAGCTCATTACCACCATTTCTGCCCCACACATTGCTCATCTTCACCACTCCAGTACACACCTCATTTCCAGCACTCCAGCCCCATTCAAAACTCTTTATCACTACTCCAGTCCCTCACACAGCTCGTCTTCACCACCACTCTGCTCCACACACCCCTCACTACCACCATCCCAGCCACACACACCTCATTTCCACCACACCAGCCCTATTCATAGCTCATTATAACCACTCAGCCTCTCACACAGCTCATCTTCACCACCACTCTGCTCCACAAACCCCTCACTACCACCACTCCAGCCACACACACCTCAGTTCCACCACTCCAGCCCTGTTCATTAGGGACTTGCAGGAGAGCAAGCTGCCATTTCCACCATCAAGAGCAAGGAGCAGCGACGGTGGTCAAAACGTACCTCAAAGAAGCGGGCACGTGGGGAAGGTGACAATGCTACCCTTGCTGGAGAGAGCGATGGAAGCAAAAAGCCGGTGTTCACTCTTGGTCAACGCTTCAGCATGCATTTCAAGCACTGCATGATGCGGAATGCCACCAAAGCCAGCGAGGGAGATCCAATGACGCCAGAGCAGGTGTCTGAGGAGTTGGGGCTTGCTGCAGATCATTGGGCAGGTGACCATACACGCTGCGCACGTGTGGGAACAATGC